CTGTCTTGGTCTTGAAGGAAATGCATTTAATCTAATAACATTTCTCCACTAAGACTAACACTTAGTTTAGATTTTTTATATATAAACCTTAACCAAGTTAAAAAATTATTCCATTGCTGGCTTGATGCTGTATTTTTCATAAATAGGTGTGAAACCTTACCATACGCTTTTCTATATCAATTAAGATAATCACGCTTTTTTTCCCTTTTTTGTCCATTATTCTGATAGATTTTCTGATGTGGAGTCATCCTGGTATTCCTGAGATAAATCCTATTTGGTCACGTATTTTAAAATACACCACTGGATTTGGTAGCTAGTATTTTTAACTGTGAATATATATTCATAAACAAAATGGGCCTTTTTTCTTCATTTTCATCTGATTTTGAAATCAACATTAGCCTTAACTTCTATTTTGTTAAGATTGCAATCTGGGCTTTGGGATTCATATTTGTCTGGTATATACTTTTTTCTTTTTTTGGCAAGAGCTTTATTCAGATATGGTTCACATACCATACAATTCATCTATTTAAAGTGTACTATTCAATGGTTTTTAATATGCTCAGAGTTGTGCAACCATAACCACAATCAATTTTAGAATATTTTCATCACCCCCAAAAGAAATCCTATACCCTTTAGCTATCATTCACACCCTCTCATTGCCCTCCCCACCTCCCAGCCCTAGGCAACCACTATATATATATATATATATATATATATATATATATATATATACATATATGTTCTCTTTATAGATTTGACTATTCTGAACATTTGATGTAGATGAACTCATACAACATGTGGTCTTTTGTGGCTATTTTTAGTTAGCATGTTTTCAAGATTCATCTAAGCTGCAGCTTGTATTAGTACTTCATGCCTTTGTAGGGATGAATAATATTCCATTGTACGTATATACTTTTACCCATTCATCAGTTGACGGGACATTTGGATTTCCACCTTTCGGTTATTATGAATACTGTTATGAACATTCATGTACAAGTTTCTGTGTGGACTGTTTTCAACACTCTTCAGCATATGCCTAGGAGTGGAACTGCTGTATCAAATAGCAACTCTGTTTAATCGTTTGAGGAATTGCCAGACTGCAACTATACCATTTTACATTCCTAACAGCAGTATATGAAGCTTTCTATTTCTCTACACCCTCACCAATATTTTTTTTATTATACCCACCCTAGTGGGTGTGAAATGGTATCTCACTGTGGTTTCAATTTGCACTTCCCCAATGACTAATGATGTTAAACATCTTTTTTTGTGTTTACTGACCATTTGTATATCTTCTTTGGAGAGATGTCTATTCAGATCCTTCGACCAGTCAAAAAATTGGTGTCTTATTATATTTTTAATAGATTTGTTTTTTCCTTTTTTTTTTTTTTTTTTTCTGGCAGCAGCACATGTGGGATCTTAGTTCCCTGACCAGGGATTGAACTTGCACACTCCGCAGTGGAAGCATGGAGTCACAACCACTGGACCACCAGGGAAGTCCCTGGGGGGTCTTATTACTGAGTGGCAAGTTTTTTTTTTGATTTTTTAAAATAAGTTCTTGATACAAGTTCTTATCTATTATTTGCAAATATTTTCTACCATTCTGTGGGTTGGTATACCTTTCCTCATCCTTTTATGTTTTAACTTATGCCTTGAAGTGAATCTTATTTATTGCTTTTATTTTTTAATCTTTTAAAAACTTTTGTTTTTAAAGGTTTTCACTTAAAAATTTTCAATATAGGATGTCCTGTAATTGGTGAGTTTAATCCGCTTATAGCATTTTCCCCATGGTCAAATGCATTGGGTAACCTGTCAGTTCATTATTCTCCCTGAACATCTCCCTCCCCATAGCTCATCCTCCTCCAATCTGGACTGAATATTGTGGGCCTGTTGCAAATGTTATCCTGCCACTATACTGGGTTGGGGCACTGATTTCTGGTATCTCTTGCCTCCCTTAATTTACTCCCTTATTTTTTGTGGACTACATCCTCCAGGAGACTTTTATTTATTTTTTCCTAGATGAGCCTTTTTTGTTGTTGCCATAATTAACAATTTATTTTGCAAGTGTTCATATTTAAGTTTTGTTTTTTTCTACTTCTTTTAACATCTTTATTGGATTATAATTGCTTTACAATGGTGTGTTAGTTTCTGCTTTATAACAAAGTGAATCAGCTATACATATACATATATCCCCATATCGCCTCTCTCTTGCAACTCCCTCCCACCCTCCCTATCCCACCCCTCTAGGTGGTCACAAAGCACAGAGCTGATCTCCCCGTGCTATGCGGCTGCTTCCCACTAGCTATCTATTTTACATTTGGTAGTGTATATATCTACATGCCACTCTCTCACTTTGTCCCAGCTTACCCTTCCCCCTCCCCATGTCCTCAAGTCCATTCTCTAGTAGGTCTGCATCTTTATTCCCAATTTTTTTTTAAGATTCCATATATATGTGTTAGCATATGGTATTTGTTTTTCTCTTTCTGACTTACTTCACTCTGTATGACAGGCTCTAGGTCCATCCACCTCACTACAAATAACTCAAATTTCTTTCCTTCTTATGGCTAATATTCCATTGTATATATGTGCCACATCTTCTTTATCCATTCATCTGTCGATGGACACTTCGGTTGCTTCCATGTCCTGGCTATTGTAAATAGAGCTGCAATGAACATTGTGGTACGTGACTCTTTTTGAATTATGGTTTTCTCAGGGTATATGCCCAGTAGTGGGATTGCTGGGTCATATGGTAGTTCTATTTTTAGTTTTTTAAGGAACCTCCATACTGTTCTCCATAGTGGCTGTATCAATTTACATTCCCACCAACAGTGCAAGAGGATTCCCTTTTCTCCACACCCTCTCCAGCATTTATTGTTTGTAGATTTTTTGATGATGGCCATTCTGACTGGTGTGAGGTGATAACTCATTGTAGTTTTGATTTGCATTTCTCTAATGATTAATGATGTTGAGCATTCTTTCATGTGTTTGTTGGCAATCTGTATATCTTCTCTGGAGAAATGCTGCATAGAAACTAAAGTTTAAAATTTTGTATATCTTAAATGTTTTAAACTTCTCTTCATGTTTTAAACTTGAAGTATAAAACATGAGGGTAGTTTGGTCACAGAATTATAGGTTGCAAAAGCAAGTATCTCCTGAAATCCAAATCTCTTTTATTTCCTAGGTTCAGCCATTGAGTTTGGTTAGCAACGAATACTGTTAGCTAAATAAATTTAGTTCCTGAGTTTCAGAGAGCAAGAAGGAAGTGTTCACTTAGCAAGGGATGTGTCAAAAAAATTTATTGTAATCCGAGTTTAGATTGAATAGTTTGAATCTACTGTAATCTTCATGAATTTGGAGAGCATAAGTTCAGAGAGCAGGAATATGTCCTCAGAACTTTGAAGGCATTGATCTACCATTTTTTGTCATCCAGATTTGCTGAGTCTAATGCAGATGTTATTCTTGTTCCTAAGTGATTGTTTTTTACCCTCTTTGAAAACATTTAAGATTTTCTCTTTATTCTTAGAGTTCTAAAACTTCACAGTGCTATGCCTTGGTGTGGGTCCTTTTCATTCATTACACTTGACACACTTGTTGGGCCTTTCAACCTAAAGAATGAAGTTCTGGGATAGGCTCTTATGTTATTTCATTTTAATAATCCCTTCCCACCCCTTAAAAAGTTTTTTTTTTTTTTACTTTCTAACACCATCAGTCTGATATTAGACCCCTCCTGCGGCCTTTATTTTTTCTCTCACTTTCTGTCTCTCTCAGAGGTATTTCCTCACTTGCATCTTACAGCTCTAATAATTACTTCTGAATTTTAAATATTTTTAAGAGCTCTGCTGTTTTATAACTCCTGTTGCATTTCCTGTTATTGCATAAAGGCAGTGTCTCTGAAAGTCTTTTTTACCAACTTTTCCCACTTACAACATAGTCAGCATTGTCTCATATCCTAAATATCTTGAAAACATGGTTTTTCATTTTAAACAGTCCTCTATCAAAAGATCAAAATGTATCAAAGATTTTAAGCAGCATGAGGCATTATCAAATCTGTGTTTTCGATGTTTAGTCTAGAAGTAGTAGGGAGAATGAACTGGAGCAGATTAGAGACAGAGTCTGTAATCTAGGAGAGAAATGATGAAAGTCTTATCTAAGGCAGTAGTGCCGGGAGGGGGGTAAAGGCAAAAGAACAGGCTGACAGATTTTAGGAGGTGGAATGGCACAGGATTTGGCGATTGACTGGTTAAGGGAAAAAGGAAAAGTACTATATTACCCTCAGGTTTATGGTTTGGACAATACCAAGAATAGCTGAATCTCTCCAAATAAGAAACATGTATTTTTAATAAATTTAATATAACAACAGCTTACCTGTTGTTCAGTCTCATTTGAGTTAAGCTAAATCATATCTAAATATAAGTTACAAATGTTCTATAGAAAAATAAAAATTTCCCCCAGTGCTACAGTCTCAGAGATAAGATACCAAACCTTTAGAGGGATCAACTTTTTAATTAAGATTCTTTAGAGAAATATTTAAAAGGAAGGATGGAAAAATTAGCAGTAAACAAAAATTCAAGTTTAAAATTATGGATGGATGAAACACTATAGAAGAAAATTTTATCACAAAATATTGTAATATTTTGAAATAAAAAGTCATTCTACTATTATAAATACTTTTGTTTTTGTATATTCACTTTGAGTCTCAAAAAGAATTTTGCAAGGTTATTTCCTTTTCATCAGTGAAACACCTGTTTACTGTTTAACCAACAATATTAAAGTGTGGATGCAAATATTTACTAAATATACTTTTCTCAAATAAATGCAAATCACTATTTCTGAAAAGGTTTAATTCTATTTAAACTCATTAGAATATTTATATTTAAATATGCCAATGTAATCTATATGTATTAAGCAAGTAGGAGTTTCTCAAATGAAGAAACAGTCTGATTTGGTTTTATAAATAATGAAGATGATTTAAAATGTAAAAAATTGAGCTTAAAAAAACACAGCCCAAACCACCTGTTTTTTAAAGTCACAACAGCCATCTACTTCTAAAAAGCCCTTATCAAAGCTATTTCTTCAAACTCAACATTTACTAATTCAACAGATGGGTTTTTAAAATGAGGAATGTAATTTTACTTTCAACTCACTGATCATATACTCAAATGGCAGCTTAAAAAATAATAATTTTCCAATACACAAAGACCTGAATTAAACCATTCTCAACATTTTTTCAGGACTGTTTGCTAACTGGCTTGTTTTTATTTACATATGTGCTTTAAACACGTCTACAACAGGTAGTACACAGAAATGATTATTTGCAACTATAAAACCTGTCAAGTAAACTCCCAATGTAACATCACTGCTTTTTCCTTCTCTTATAAGAATCATTACTATGAACTCGAACTCGCTGGTACACAGAGGATGCTATTTTCATGCTGTCTGTCTTTGTAAGCGTCTTCTCTACTGCTCCAGGTTTCCAAAGTAACAACTGTGCATCTTCTCCTCCGGTTAGCAAAGAATCATCCTGCATATTCCAACAGAAAGAACGGACTGTAGCAGCATGCCCTCCCTGAAGCCTGGTCACATGGACCAATCCTGATGTAGTACAGCTCATTATGTGAATAATTCCTGTGTTTGTTCCTCCAACTACAAACAATTTGTCCGTCTTTTCATGATATAGGCCGCCAATCAAATAGTCCAAAATCCCTTCTTTCACATTAATTACTTCTCTGACATCCGGGATGTTCAAACATGTAATTGGTTCATCGGTATCCAGATGATTAAGATCCCACCAACAAAATCCTTCATCATGTGTCATGCAGTAAATCTGTTTATAATCTTTCCCAGACCAACCAATACAGCTTACTGATGAAACTGAGTTACAGGTTGTAACCAGTGCATCTTCTTCATTATCAACAGTAATATCAAATACATTTACCAGGCCGTCAGTTGAACCTGAGACTACCACGTTGGGATCGCTGGGATGGAAACATACTTGAGTGATATCATCACTATGTGTCTCCGAATATGCACCAAGTGGGTCTTTAGTAGTAGACAAATCCTGAGAATTAATTCTTGCATCCCAAAATACCAACAATGCATCATCATCAACTTTTTCTGTACCAGCACAAATGACATGATCATTACAGCTGATATCAAAACTGATAAAAATATTGGAAGGGTAACCCTTGAACAGCTGGACAGGTTTTTCACTGGCTAATCGAGCATCCCAACATTTTACAGTCCCATCACTGCATGAGGAATACACGCTGTCACAGGAATTTGCAAACTTGACTCCATTAAGTCCAGGATATCCTCTAAATTCTCGTAGTACATTTAATCTATCTTTATCATATATTCTGATTGATCCGTTAGAGCATAAAACAGCAACCAAGCTTCCTTTTTCTGCTTGTACAGTCTTTGATGTGTCTATGCCAAGCAGATAAGTAGGCTCTTTAGTTTCTGAGGAACGTTTAACAATGTTCAAATTAGCAAATTGTTCCTCAATCTTCTCCATAGCAGGAGTGCATCCAAGGGTAGTAAAAATCTGTAATAAAAACAAAAATTAAAATTAAACCCAATGCGTCTCTACATTGTGATTAAATCAAGAACATTTCCCTCTGAGAGCTGGCACAAAACAACAGAACTAAAATCTAATATTTTAATCATTTCCCTACCATGATGTAATTAAAACTCAGTTGCCTACTTATTCAATCACTTTTTATATACTGAATCTACTGACAGAGAATTTTAAAACATGTACATACCTTGCTTAGTAATTCCTTTTAGCTCAAACCTAATAATTGGTCCTACACACAGTCCTCCGCATTAGCCAGGATCTCCACTTTGAGATCATCTTCACCTGGCCCCAGCTGCCTTAACAACTATAGAATCTAAACATAGATGTGTTAGCAGAAAAATGGTCCCTCAAAGATGTTCATGCCATGGGGCTTCCCTGGTGGTGCAGTGGTTGAGAATCCGCCTGCCAATGCAGAGGATACAGGTTCAATCCCTGGTCTGGGAAGATCCCACATGCTGTGGAGCAACTAAGCCCGTGCACCACAACTACTGAGCCTGCACTCTAGAGCCCGTGAGCCACAATTACTGAGCCCACGTGCCGCAACTACTGAAGCCCACGCACCTAGAGCCCGTGCTCCACAACAAGAGAAGACACCGCAATGAGAAGCACTGCAACGAAGAGCAGCCCCCGCTCGCCGCAACTAGAGAAAGCCCGCACGCAGCAACGAAGACCCAACACAGCCAAAAGTAAATAAACTCATAAAAAAAGAAAAATGTTCATGCCTTAATCCCAGGAACCTATGAATATGTTAGGTCACATGGCAAAGAGGAATTGAGGTTGTAAATGGAATTAGGTTGCTAATCAGTTGACCTTAAAATAGGGAGATTATTCTAGATTATCTGGGTGGGCCCAAAGTAATCACCAGTGCCCTTAAAAGTACTGATAGAAGAAGCAGGCAGAATATGAGAGTCAGAGGGAGATGTTACTATGGAAGAAAGGTTCAGAGAGATACACTGCTGGTTTGAGTAAAGGAGGCCAATAATTGGGTGGCCTCTAGAAAGTGGAAAAGACAAGGAAACAGCCTCCTTTAGAGCTTCCATGTGAAAGTGCAGCCCTGCTAACACCCTGATTTTAGCCCATTGAGACCCATTTTGGACTTCTGACCTCCAGTTATAATAAATTTATGTTGTTTTGAGCCACCAAGTTTGTAGTAATTTGTTACAGCAGCAATAAAAAACTAATAGAGGTACCCAGTAGGAATTCTGGAGATGTGCTTCTCAGGCTTGTAAATGTTGGAGATGCAATTTGAACTTAGGCATTCTGGCTTCAGGGACTGTGCTCTTAACCACCACGCTAGATTGCCTCTCAATGGTAGGTTGTATACAGAACAAGCGCAAGGCCAGAAAAATATGCATGCCTAGTGACTTTATCACAAATTTTTCTATCTTGCTTTCACCAATGAATATTCTAGCCTGCCTCACAAATTCACATGTTCATTCTTAAGATGAAATGCTTTTTTTTCTGTTGCTTTAGTGATAGCTTTTTAACCATCTGTCTTTTCGTCTTTACAAGAAGAAATGAACACTAATTCAAGAGTTGTTAGAAGGATTAACTGAAATAACGTGTCTGGCATATCATGATACACATTCAACAAATGTTACGTAAAAATGACCAGTATTACCATTATCAAGGCAAAAAATATTTAAAAGTTGCATTGGGGTTCAAAAAAAGAATAAGCATCCTCTCCAACTTTAAATTTTGACTATTTAAAAACTTACAGAAGTTGAAAGAATAGTACAACGAACACACACACACATAGCCTTTCACCTCCGAGGTTCAACAACTTGCTTTCTTCTATCTCTATAAGCACACACACACACACATTTTTTGATGAACTATTTGAAAGGCAGACAAAATATCACTTCATTTCTAAATACTTTAACACAGAGCACCTCCCTAATCTTTTTTTTCTTAACACTGAATTTTTTTTAAAGTCCAGGCCAGCTGTCTGATAATATGTCCCATATTCTGGATTTTTCTAATTGTTTCCTCCTCATGATTAGATTCCAGTTTAATATTGTTATCAGGGATAAAATTTAGGTGATGCTGGGTACTTTTATTTTTGGCTGCATTGCGTCTTCGTTGCTGTGTGCGGGCTTTCTCTAGTTGCAGCGAGCGGGGACTACTCTTCATTGCAGTGCGCGGGCTTCTCATTGCGGTGGGTTCTCTTGTTGCAGTGTACAGGCTCTAGGCACGTGGGCTTCAGTAGTTGCAGCACACAGGCTCAGTAGTTGTGGCACGTGGGCTTCAGTAGTTGTGGCACGTGAGCTCAGTAGTTGTGGCTCATGGGTTCTACAGCGTAGGCTCAAATTGCGGTGCACAGGCTTAGTTGCTCCGCAGCATGTGGGATGTTCCTGGGCCAGGGATTGAACCCGTGTCCCCTGCATTGGCAGGCGGATTCTTAACCACTGTGCCACCAGGGAAGCCCTGGGTACTTCCTATTGCATCACATCATAGAGACTCACAATAACAAGTTTGATCACTTACTTAAATTCTTCTTGGTGCTCAAACTGTCCCCAACTTGACCACTGAGAAACTCCTCAGGCAGCCAGCTTCTGTGTGCTTTTGATATGTCATTATCAAAATTAGTATGTAAGCCCTAAATGGAAAAACTCTATATAAGTTTGAAAATGGTGAGCATGCTTCAAGTATTCTGAGACTAAATGACCATTTATCTCTACAGCATAACTGTTGGTTTTACAACCAGATAGGCTAAAATGGCCTTCTCTCCTTAAACATGTCATGCTTGCTTCTGTCTCAGGACTGTAGCAATAGCTGCTTCTCTGCCTGGAATACTTTCTGTACGTTTTTTGTGTAACTCCTTCCTGTTATTCAGGTCTCAATATGTTATCTCCCCAGAGAGAGCTTCCCTGATCAACCAACCTAAAGTAGCCTGTCACCCCCCCATCATACTGCCCATTTTATTATTAAAAAAATTAAAAATGCTTAATTATGAAATATTTCAAATATACAAAGAAGTGTAGAAAAAAAGGAAACAGACACCCAAGTACTGTACATAGTACCCAGATTTAACATTTTGCCATATTTGCCTCAGTTTTTTATTTAAAGAAATGAAACCTTATAGACACAACTCCTATGGTTAAGAAATTTTTTAAATGGCATCACAATTATATGTATCTTTGTTGCAATTTGCTCTTTTCACTCAATACTTTTTAAAAACCTGATTTTACTGGTGAGGTGAACTTATTACCTGACTCTTTCTTGCTTTTTTGTTATCAATATGATCGTTGAATAAATGACTCAATAATTGATTCAACTTTCATGGATTAAGAGCTGAAGAGTTCTTCCAGGAGAAACAGAATAAATCTAAAATGATATTGCATGTGTCTGTGTGTTTGCAAGGGGAGCTTATGGAAATTAAATTAGTAAAATAATGGCATTCTTTTTTTTTTTTTTTTTTTTTTTTTTTTTGC